CACATCTCATTATACTAATTAATTGACTAGTTGTAATCTTACTTTTTGTTTCCTATTCGGATTGTTTATTTGTCTTGCTAAGGCTATTTTGTGTTCACATACTAACAACCAGTCTTTGCTTCCTTAAATGTTCATCTTTACTGCGTTATTATTGCTGATTGATCACATTTGTCAACTCTAGCATTTACCAGCATCTATTTGTATCTTGATAAATTTTTGACTTATTAAAATTAGTGTATAGATCAATATTTTAAATTTGTATATGCCTTTCTACTTTGGTTGAACTAATTATTTTGCTTGTCTGCAAAACTTTTTACAATGGAAATCACACATGAATCTAATACAGACTATCAAATCTTAAAAATTGTGCACGCACCTGCTTGCAATTATTTTATGAATACATATATTTGCGTACAAATCAGCCAGATTTCTATCGAGGTATAGCATTTTTAACTTTTCCCTCATTGGACTGATATCCAACGTAGCAAATTTGCAATGAATTTTACTTTATTATTGATCTCAAAAGGTCTTTCTTATTCAAGGTTGGCTGCGGTTCCATCCTCTCATTAGCACTTCAAGCGCGGGTGAGAGTTTAAGGACAACAAATTATTCTCTAAGCCACACCGTCCTAGCCATACTGTATTACACGACAGGCATGAATTTAGAGGCAAAGCAAGCATATACGTTTACTTCATTACGGGTGATTTTTTTCTTATTTGATTCATTAAAAATTAAAAAAAATACTGTTCGCTAGATTAGTTTATTTATATTTGTTAGGTGAAATTCTCCAGGAAGACGGATATTGCATGCTGAAGCTTTACTAAGGAAAACTATTTAATGACTGCTAATTATTCAGTTATCCAAAAGACTACTACTGATTCTAAAAGGAGCTTCAAAATACGCTAGCAGATTTCAGATTCAAAATACAAATTGGACTTCAAGAATGTGTAAACAAGGTTTGAGGTCTATGTACACTAATGAGATCCAAACTATTTACAGCACTCACTACCCATCAAAATAAGGCATATCTTCGCTTTTATTCTTAAAATATTCTAATAACAATATTCCTAATGGAATTTAATCGAATGAGTAAGAAAAGTGATCTAATAATAAATGGTTGTGCATACATAAACAACAGTTTGATAAATTAGTAAATTTAGTTTTATATAATATATGAAGACCAAGATGTTGTGGCCTCTGATGTGGTCGCAGTCTCCTTTCGATAGATAGAAGTGGGTTGACCTCGTTGTCGTAACTTGGTCTTGTTTTCAGGGAGACCATGTAGAACGCACCTA